ATCTGATTGTATTAAGAATTGAAGCTGACACATACAGCCTCGTTCTTAAATGCGGAAGTGCGCAGATCGACGCTAAAAGCATCGTATTAGGATCCCTCTGTGTGGTAGACTGGCTTAATTTACATGTGACTAGAACTAAAATTTTACCAACTTACCACACTGAACGTGCAGTGACTGGGGAATTTCCACCACAACAGAGCTTTGTGCTTTTCTGTGCCAATATTGTCATTTTGACTTTGTAAATATATTCACAAATCATACCATTTTACAGTTTCAGACCTTTTTCTCAATAGAAAAAAATCCTCCAGAGCTACATGTAAAGGTCAGTAAAAGAAAATGTACATGTAGACACAATTTATTCACACAATGCTTTAGGCTGGTTGCTGTCTACCTTTATTGCACCAATCTGCAAAATTGTAATTAGGAATATGACCAGTCTGATACATGTATGAATGCACCTAAGACTTTATTTCCCTTTTAAAAAATCTCTTATGGGTATAAATCTCTCTCCCCCCCTCAAAAAAGTGCTGGAATCAAGGTCAGCAAAATGTGTCTTTGTCCATGTACTGGTATGTACATGTACGTGTACATAAAACTACGGTACATACAGTAGGGTACAAAAAGGCAATGCCGACTGTTTGGCAAACTGATCTGGAGCTGTTGCATTCGACGGATAGGGCCCCACAGAAGCAGGCCGCTTTTCCATCTATTTTGCCTTTGGTTAGTAAATTTAGTTCTATGAAACACCAAAATGTCCACCCAGGGCTTGATGAATGCGATAAGACCCTGACTTCTTTGTAAGACCTTGGGCAGCACATGAGGATGGACAGGGGGGGGGATAGTTAATGCATACAATATACATGTAGCTGGATCTACGAAGACAGTCTCAAAACAGTGAAATTGCTGACAATCCAGCAGTTTGGATTATTTATAGAGTAACAATTGTCTCTAATTTCATGATTTTAGGACAGAAAAATATAATGAAGAAGTGACCACAATATCTGTGAGGATTGAAGGTCAAACATTTTCCCTACACAGAATAGAGAAGAAGACATTTTGTTCCTGCTTTGCCCTTTTTTTGTTTATCTGACTCAGATTTTTGATGTAATTTTCCAGGCATCTGGAAGTTTGAAGTCTGTGTTACCATGGCAACCATTCTAGAGCAAGATTTGATGCATCCGGTGGCTGAGGAGACAAGCGAACACTCCCAGACCAAAGTCACAGTGGTGGGAGTGGGCCAAGTTGGCATGGCCTGCGCCTTCAGCATACTGACACAGGTACATGCACAATATACATGTACATGTACATAGACATGAAACACGCATGATCGTGACTCAAAACCCCCTCAGTGGCAAGCATCAAACCAATGAGCCCACACATACCTTGATCTGCAGGCAATAAACCCAACCCATGGTGGTGAAAACATTGCCCAACGGAAAAAAAAGAGAGTCACAAGACGCCAAAAACCACTTGAGTTGAAGCTAGGACTAAAGGTCGGTTCTTACTTCACACGATACTGAACACAAACATGAATTTGTGATGTCAGATCAAATATTCGCACTGAGCAAAAGTTGGACACATTTCAACTCGAGCAGAATTGTGCTTCAAATCTTTTGTGATGTCGACTTTGCTTTGCTTTAACATTCGCTTGTAGTGCATGTGTGAACTGGCCTTAAAAGGGTTGTTGCCCAACGTACATTTAAGTTACCAGTGAGGCACCCTCTGCATTTGTTTACCACATTTCATCCATCTCATTAGGATACCAAACTTAGTGATGTCTCACACAAAGAGCTAGCGATAGCTCTGCTCTTCCCACATGTAATTCAAAATGAAGTGGATAGTATTGATAAAAAATCAGCCTCAAGACTCATTATGTAGGATTCAGTCACTGCTTTCTTGATTCCCTCCCCATTGCTGTGTTGCTGTCATACACTTGAGGTTGACTAGTTTTTGCATCAAACAGCTCCCAGTCAGTTGATGAGTTGTGCTTGTTATGATACTAATAATTACAGATGTCAGCTTCCACAGTGCATGTACTGTACATTGTTTGGTAAACAGTACCCAGTACATGTACATGTATATCCTGTTTCTTGGCTACTTCCAAGATACCAATGTTCAGCACAGTGTACATGTATGTGTACGGTACTTTGGAACTCAAAGAATTTTGCTCTAAAATTGTTCATGCCATCACAAACCTACAGATATACATGTAACATTTGGTTTTCTTTATGCCAACAAATATTATGTCCAATTGTCGAAATCAAATGTTCAAATGTACATGTACAAGTTTATCTTCCCAATGCAAAATTCCCAGTTTTCTGATCTACACAATGTACATGTATTCTTAAATTTAGGCTGTGAAAGATTATGAAATTCATGTTTCTTCTTGGTCATACTGAACACATACATGTACATATACACGTACCGGTATATGTATGTACAGTACACGTATGTATCAAGTCAAAAGACTGACTTCTTGTTAGTAGCCTACTGATTTATTTGTAGATTTGGTTTCCTGCTTTTTTGTTATCAGCACGTAGCCAGTGAAATTGCCCTAGTTGATGTCCTGGCTGACAAGCTGGCTGGTGAAGTCAAAGATCTCCAACACGGCTTGGCTTTCACTCGAGGAATTTCCGTCAAAGGAGATACAGGTAAGTCTTACAGGATTATGGAGCAAAGAAACACAGCTTGATCTCATTGGAATGCAGAGTAGTGACCTGGCAGGAAATTGTCCAAAGGAAGATTCATAGGGTGTGCATTACAGATCCAGGCCAGCTGCTCATTATGCATTGCTCTTCATTGCAGGTACATGTACATCCAGGGACCTGTGTGAGGCTAGAAGTCTTGTAGGCCAGATACAAAAGAGAGTAGGCAGATCTGCGTTCCTGTCCTTCCTTAGCTCTCACAATTCCTTTCACAAAACCCAGTCAATGGTCATTTCCCATGTACATGTAGTATTTATGGCCTTGCTATGGAAATTATTTGTTTGGACTTCCTTCTGCTACATGTAGATGTAGCGCTTATGCCTTTTACATACTAATTGTGCGCGTGACGTACTTCAAAGAAATGCCAGAGGTTTTATACATGTATGGTCTTTACATGCCATGGTTTAGGTAATGGCTGTACATGTAACATGTACTTCAAAGAAATGCCAGAGCTTTTATACTTGCCTTGGTTTAGGTAATGGTACACAAACCAGTAGTAATGGACATGGACATATGCATACCAGTACATCATTGTCAGACATGTTCATGCAGAATGAAGAATGCTTTATGTGGAAATAAAGTACAGGAACATAATTTAGGCATTTAGCTTTAAAGGGAGCTTGTTAAAACTGAACTTGTATGGACAATGTACTTGTATTAATGAGGATGAAAAGTAGCATTTACCATGGAGGAAGGACACAGAAGGAGTTTGAACTACCCGGGCTATACCATCTGGCCAAGTACCGCTTTCTGGCATACCCGGTATGTCCATAGCCAGAGCGCAGCGCACGCCTGCTACTCACCACCTGTTTTGCAACCAAAAGCCCTCTTTGTACCCTGTGATCGTCGCCGCAATTTTTCGTTGGTAATCTGCATCCCTAAAACGTTGTGCACTGCAGTATAAGAAGTTGAATATTCATGCCATCGTTGGTGCTTGATATGAACCGACAACAACAAATTTAGTGCTTGTGTAGTTGCTTTTACTAGGCTGTGTACGCGAAGTGTTCATGTGCAGTTGTTGCCCTTATCAAACGCTTTCCTTTGGACTTCTTTTTGGACTAAATACATGTAGCCGAGCTGTTTGTAAGACTTTGTGTTTTGTTTTTTATTATGTCATTTTTACAAAGGCGTATTTTATGAGATTTCACGATCACTCCCTGTGATGAAATAGCGCATTTTGTTCCTAATGAACTGAGCTTTCCAGTAGTAGTGAATATTTTGATGGCTAGTCTTTGCCGAATTCGTTCCAAGTCTTTGACACTGATGTATATTGGACGGAGGAGACTAGAATTACAAACTTTGCATGGATAATGAAAAAGTGTGTCAAAATTTAAAAAGTTTATTTATGATGGCAAAAATATCAGGAATTTTTCTCTCTCTATTTCCTGGTCACATCGATAGTTTGTATCTAATTGCAAGCAAAAAACTACAAGTGTTGCCAGGGTATTACTGGCCCCACTTGTCCAGCTAAGATGCAGGCAGCAATAAGGCATTTTTGGAATGTTTTCTATTATTCGTCAGACTCGGCGGCGACCATCATTGGACGCTTTGAAGTGCCTGAGTTACAACTCCTTCTGTGTCCTTCCTCCATGCATTCACATCGACATATTTAGCACAAACACATCTTTGCATAGATTAAAAATTATTCCTAAATACATGTACATGTACCTGAGGCAGTCTCCCTATCCAACAACATGCAACTTGACCGTGTATTAACATTTGATAATGCCTGCATTGACACCTGGATACAAGATAGTTCAATCGATTCTGATGGGTCAAGAGTCTGTGTGCACGCAGCTCACCACACGTGTGCCAATTGGACAATTTGTACAAGGAATATTTCATAAAATGGACAGAGAAATTCTGTAACAAAATTGCCAGAAGTCTATCATATATTGACTTCTTTTGACTTTCTGGCTTTTTTTTGTTTTTTTAAGGTATTTATGAACGGGAATAAATACAAATGTACATGTACGTGTATGTGCTTAAACTAACATTTAAGACCGGCTCAGGAGACTGAATGCTGAAATTACCCTTGCCTGCAGCTCGGGCATTAGTAGCATCCAGTTTCCTGAGCTGGTCTTAAACCCACTTTTAAGATTGGCCAAGCACATATTTATTCCCTCAATAAACCCTGCTACCGTACATGTATAAGTTTATATAGTAATAAGCATGGTAATATTTGATGGTTTGATACATGGTTTGCTAAATCATTTTTGGAGTGTTTAGTGTGCTGTGTTTCGGTCGGTTAAGCTGTTTTACACGTATGCTTATGGTTATTTTGAACTATCAGATTACAAAGTATCAGCAGGCTCTAAACTCTGCATCGTGACAGCAGGAGCCCGGCAGCGAGAAGGAGAAAGCCGTCTCAATCTTGTCCAGAGGAATGTGGCCATTTTCAAAGGTATTTTGACTCTGCTGAAATTTATCCCTTGCGTTGCTTTGGTTCCTTCTATGGTTCACTATGGCTTCCTGTTGGATAAGGTTCCACTGCCTTGCCAGGCAGTTTCCTTTTGAAAACTAACATGCATAGAAAATAGTGATAAACAAATCCACTCAAATACAGTTTCAGGTTACCTGAGCCATCTCCAGGTCAGCCAGTTTATACCTTTGAGACCAACATGGACTTGTATACAATCTTTGATCTGTCCGGTTTAATTTTAGTAATTCAAGAGGTTAATGATAAAGATCTTACAATCTGCAACCTCCTAAGACAGACTGAAGTCTGAGGTGAGGAGGAACTGGATCATCAAAAGGGTGTGGAGTTCAAGAAAGGTGTGGATTTGATCACATTTGGTGATTTATACATGTACATGTACATTTCGTTCATGTACAAAACTGCTTTTGCAGCAAGCATCAACTATCTCCATTTAAATCTTACAGTTTATTCCTAACGTATGCACATACACAGTATCATAACTGGCCTCACTGAAAACTTGATGTTGGTGCAACAAAGAAACAAATATGAAGAACAGCTTCTGTTGTCTCTGTATTGTGGGCATTATTGGTTACTGGTTGGAGACAGTTCTAGGCTTGAAAGTGATAAAGCTGTTTGTTTGACATTCCATCTTCCCAGGAATCATTCCTAATCTGGTCAAGTATAGCCCCAACGCCATCTTGATGATCGTGGCCAACCCTGTAGACATCTTGACATATGTTGCTTGGAAGCTGAGCGGCTTGCCTAAAAATCGTGTCTTCGGCAGCGGAACCAACCTCGACACGGCTAGGTTCCGTTTTCTCATTGGCGAGAAGTTACAGATAGCACCCAGTAGTGTCCATGGTTACATCATCGGCGAACATGGAGACACAAGTGGTACTTTATGACAAACTTCTATTATTTTGACGTCCTTTTTTGTCTGAGCAATGGATTCTTGTCTTAGTCAGTATTTTTGTTCAGGTTATATCTTTTCCTGTTTCGTTTTACAGATATCAGTGATGAAGTATTGTCACCAACTTCTCAGTTGAGGTGAATACATATGGCTAGTCAAACAGAAGAGATTTTTTTCACCTATGGAAGTTCCTTTGATTGTTATTCCTTTGCTTTACATGTAGTTCCAGTCTGGTCTGGCACCAGTATTGCTGGCGTGAACCTCATTTCAGTTAATCCTGCCATTGGCTCCGAGGTTGACCCCGACAAATGGAAGGATCTCCATAAAGATGTAGTAGAAAGGTAAGCCAATGCATTCAGCTCTCTCTTTCCGTAAGTTGGCTTTTAGCGTTAATGTTCTATTAAGTGCAGGTTTTAGTTGGAATGCATTGCAACTGACCACTTTGTGTTTTCCTCCAATTGCGTACACAATGGTACTTTTACTTTGGCATGACCCACACCGTTACCCTAACAGTTTCTTCTCTCCCTTGTAGAAATGCCACACTGGACATGTATACAGTTTTGTTTCTGCTCACGTCAGTTGTACATGAATTTAATGTTGTATTAGAATTAATGGTTATTTGTATTTTTCATTTATATATGCAATTCAGATTTTAAGACAAGGGTCCATTGACTTTTACCAGTGTTTACCTGTACCTGTAAATCGTTGAATAACTTGCTGAGACTTTTGAATGTACAGTGCATTTTGAGAATATTACACTTAGATGTATAGAGTACTCAATATTTAGCCTACTATAAAGCACCTGTTTGTATCAAACAGATCTCGATCAGCGATTCCACAGCTGGTTCGCACTATCCATTAGGCGGGTTCTGGTGTCAGTGACCCAGCCACTGATGGCGATCCGGATCCGTGTGAAACAAATGGGCACATACATGTACTGGCATGCTGTCATCAGTGAGCCAGTTCCGTATTTCAAGAGTGCATGCCCAGCATGAGGCTATTCAGGAACAGCTCGTGAGCGCGAGATTGCCTGTCCTATCAGCACAGCCATATGCTGACTCAAGCACATGCTTTGTTCCGGAAAGACCTTCGCTTTTTGAAATACTGAACTGGCTCATTTTAGAAGCAGATAACAGCCCAGAGAAAATTCATGTAAATGTAATTGTGCTTTTGAAAAGAAGTACAATACATAAATGAGTTTGCATTTTGAAGTAACAAAACTTATTGTTTGCTATTTGTTCATAACATTTCAAGTTGTTAATTTGCTTAATTTTGTTAGCAATGAACAAATTTTAACTCGTCAAATCTGACATCTGGCAAGGTACTAGATACATGTATTTACACGTACATTTATGTTACATACATGTACATGTACCATGAACTAAAGGATCATCATGGGTATAAAAACTCTTTCCCCAGGTCTGTGTCACATTACCTCACACATACTGTACCCATAACCAAAAATCCCTCTGATGAAGGGTGCAGTCATCCTAATTTTGTCTTGCACTCATCATCAGTCAATGCTACATTAACAATGGCCGTAGTTGGTCAGCAGTACTCATGATGCTATTCTATGGAATTTAAAAGTTACCATGGTTACTGGTACATGTACAGTTGGAGAGACTTTGAGTCATTCCTTGATCTATGATTCTCCTACTGCTGGTGAAGCTTAAGTGTTGTTTTGTTACCGGGAACCTAACTGTCATTAACACATACTCAAAACTTCAATAAAGAAAATTCTCATTGTGGAAACATATGCATTCGGTTACTTACAGTGTTTGCAAGAATTTGGACTAACACTGTTACTCACACTAAAAGCCATGAGATGTTAAAATCATGGATTTCATTCTTTCTTGAGTTTAAAGTAAGGGGGTATTCAAAAGTTTCCATGTTTTAACATTTCAATTTTTTCATGTTTCAAAATGGAGGGTGTGTCAAGGTACATGTAGATAACTGAAGATCAAAACCAACTTTTCATTAGAACAAAAAGAAAAAGAAATTGATCTTTTACAAGAACTACATGCCACACCAAGAATCCTTTTTGTGATCTTCTTAAACTTTGTTTTCATGTACATGTACTCACAGAATGATTAAAAATTTCATTTACCACTGGACTGTTCACCCACTTGAAGCCAAGACTACATGTACGTGTACAAGGACAGCAGCTGATGGTTTGCTTTTTGGGTTGCATTACACAGCACTCTGTTGTTACCGTGTTGGAACTCCATTCCAGCTGATGTATCATTGCGCAAATACTAAATATCTCACGTCAACATTTTGCACATTTTTCTCTGGAACTTGAAAGTGCTGTAAACAAGAGTGCCAAATCCAAAGTTCAAATGTACATAATTAAGGGAACAGCTTGGCTTGTTAAAAAGTAAGAATGCTATATCAGGAGCACTTCAATGAGAATTTGTCCGTGCAATTACAGCGCGGCATTTAACATGGCAACCACCAGTGTATAATACTTATCAAAACCTTTTTTTTTTTCAATGAAAATGGGAATGGGTGGGTGGATCAAAAAAATTGAAAAGAATTGAAATTTGAACACAAAACTTTCGAATGGCCCCTGATCGTATTGTACTTTAAGTTTCAACATTTACACATTATCAGTTGCCCTTTGAAGGCCTTGTTTTTAGTGATAAGCATTATGCATGCAACAAGTCTGTTCAATTAGTGTATGTGCCATATGCACTGATTTTTATCTTTATTCACTTTGAAGCCCATTTTTTCCCACAAATCCCCTAAAGACAGGTGTTTCAGTGATGTCATAAGGTTTTACAGGAATCACTCCTACGATACGCATTATCTTTAAATTTCAAAACAGAATTTCACATTTGAATTTTCAATCCCGTGTCCAACAACCCATGGAGAATTGCCCTTCTACAGAAGTCCAGGAATAGCTCCAACAGCAGTGTACACCTGTTTGCACTGATTTGTAGCAATTTACCCATATTTGACTTTTATTAACGCTCTGTCTATATGTATGTATGCATCACAGTGAAGCTGTGATTGTGACAATAAACCACCCGTGCCGACTGACTGGTTTAGACACTACACATATACAAAGTACTTAAAATCCGCATAAAACCTTAACTGCAAAAATGAATAGATTGTTTTTTCAGAGATTAAGTAAAAGTTTGTTTTCCCGTACCAGCTAGATTGTGCCGATACGGCAGCCCCCAAATAGTTCAGATGTGATCTACATTTCACCTGCCTTTGAAAATGCAACCTTGAGGGAACCCTGCATTCACTTGCATTGGCTTGAAGCCTCCTATATGTACCACCTACACGTAAGCTTTTAACTGATATTTTTTTCCCATGATATCTTCACTGTAGCGTCAAGACAGGTCAAGAGGAGAAAGCAGATGGGTACAGTAATGTTTGCCTGCCTACTGCCCTCACCTTTAACTAAATCAGACCAGGTTTCATTTGAAAAAAAAAAAAGAAAGATAAAAATGCATGCATAACATGGCTGACATTTCACAGCAGTTTTCCACAGCTATGCAGTGACTTTTTTGTGCAGCATTTTAGGAGTAGTGCTTACTCTCAGAGACAATACTGAATGAATGCACCCACTGTTTAATTGTCTTGATTATAGCCATTACAGGCCTCAACCAAACCCTTTTCCTTGGGGCAATCAGGTTAAGAGTTAAAGGGAATGAAGTTCTCCTCCTCACAATTTAAAATAACACTGCATGTAAATAAGGCTTTTGCAAGTTAAATTTGAATTAAATCCGGCACACTGAGTTATAGACACAACAATATGAATTCCCCAGACTAAATACACTCTTGTTATACCTCATGATTCAGGGCAAGCGTTTGCATGGGGACCACCATTTCTGGAATGGACTGGTTCCTTTGTGCCCTTCTTATCCAATGAAAACACTGTATTGTCGCAAGGCGTCTCTTACGTGTATGTAACATAGTAACAGCTTGCCTAAAATTGTGAGGTATAGCAGCAGTGTCTTTAATACGGAGAATTCAAATTATGTTCATATGAATTTAGAGGACTCAGTGTACCAGATTTTATTCAAATTTAACTCGCAAAAGGCTTATTACCGGGCTGTTTAACCCCTTGACGACGGGAATTTCTTTCCGAAAGCCGACTTCAAGAATTCCAGCTTTGCTTGGCCACGAAGGCCACCTGCCAAACCGCAAATTTTCGGTTTGTGGCCCTGCGTGCTCTGCACGCTTTGAATTACGCAGTGAAAAGGCTCATTGTTCGGTGGCATGTGGCTCTACTCACGCTTCCACATTCCCGTTGCCTCTTTTCATTGTGGGGACTATTGTGAAGCTGGTGATTATGATGCAAATTCAGTCTTTTCATTTCTGGGCTATACACAAAGGCCAATCACCATATATAGAAGAGCCAGGGTCTGCCTTCTTTCACCGTGTTCGCTTGAGTGTGGGCCAAGAATAATAGCTGAAAAGCAGGCCGAGGATCTCAATTTTTACGGCGGCTCTAGCCGCGTCCCGACGCGAAGGGGTTAAGGGTGCAGTAAATGCTGTGTAGCATTTCGTTGAGTTTTGCTGGAAAAAGGTTAGGTCTCAATAGTTATGGCTGACGCTGTAAATGGGAGACTATAAGAGCCACTAGCCATGTTCCACTACCGCTACACGTACCTCTCATCTAGACATGTACGCTGCACCTGGTGGTAGCCGTTTGGACAGTGTTTGACCTCTGTAGCAGTGCACTGGATTTAACAAGTCCCTTTATTTTGAAGGTTGTAGTTGCTCGCATTGTACTAGTGCACTGTTTGCCATTTTGTTTTTCATTTTTAGATTACATACATGTACTTGTTTTCTTTTTATCTCTGTTTCCTTTGTTTGTTTTGTTTGCATTTATGACGTCTGGAGCACCTTCTTTTAAGAGTTAAGTCGTCGGACATGTTCGTGTAGAACTCAATATTAAACAGCACTTGTTACTAATAAGCAAACTGGGTAATGACATATACATGTATGTACAATACAGATGCACAGCTTGGTACATGTACTTTAAAATATGTCATTATGAAGCTCGGCCAAAGAGGAGCTGCAAAAATTGAAAAAGTGATTGGGAAATCTTTGTTTCATGTTCTGATTTTTGTATTGTTTGTCTGGAGCAGAGACTATATGTATATTCAGGGTTTGAAAAGTGACTCACTGACTTTTAATCCTTGAATTCCTGGTCAAGAAAGAGAGTTGATTTCTCTGGAAAGGATTCAAATTTGCCTTTATCAGGATTCAACTCTGCTTGTAGCTGGAATTTCAGTGTGTTTACACAAAAATTCACTAAGGGGTTTAAGCCATCCTCAAAGCATAACCCGCACGTGATGTACAAATGTATTTGTGAACAAGAACAATAAGCCTTTTTGCGAGTTGACTTTTACAACGATCTGGTACACTGAGTTCTTTAATTCACGTGAACATAACAACTTGAATTCTTTATACTAAAACCACTGTTGCTATACCTCATGATTTGGGGCAAGCTTTTTCTTAGTTACATAAGAGACACCTTGCAACAATACACTGTTTTCAAGGAATAAGAAGGGCTCAAAGGAACCAGTCCATTCCAGAGATGGTGGTTGCTATGCGAAAGCTTGCCCTGAATCACGAGGTATAGCAACAGTGTCTTTAGTCTGGGGAATTCAAATTGTTATATTTATGTGCAATCAGATATCTCCGTGTGCCAGATTTTATTCAAATTTAACTCGCAAATGGCTCATTCAGCACCCACTGTGTAACAAGTTGACCGCTCAAAAGTGAATAATGCATAATGAGGTGAATGGTTGGCCTGCATGTTTTGTCATTACTTTATGAACTGTACAATGTACTTCACCCCTGCAGTGCAGTTTACTGATGTACTTGCTGTGCTTGTATAGTGCACGGAGTTGGACGTCATTTAAAAAAAAATTGGACTCACAATGCTCTTGTGTCGACTGAAGCCACCAGCAGCCACCTGACCTTGCTGGCTACCAAGATGATCGTTAGCTGGCATACCATTGTAACTGTTGATGCCAAGAATGATCTGGTTTACAATGATGAGTAAGCCTTTTAATTGCCCTTGTATTCAGCACAGTAACATACATGTACATGTACTAAGATGGCTGCTGGTGGCCTCAGTGGCCCATGTTGGCTGATGAGGGGCATTGTAAGTCCAGACTTGATTTGACATCCATGGTACAGTATTCTTCATTCATATTGGTTGAGCTCTACCTGTAGTACAGTGTATTCCAAATACAAAGGAGATGCACCAACCACTTGGCAGTGCTGTTCTTTTTTTATGCATGTTTGTGGTCTTTTTTTCTAGTTTGCCTGCTTGATACTTTTCTCTGTATGCATGGTGTTATGAGCAGTCCACATAAAGTAGAGGGAGACATTTCATTGAAATGCAGTGGCAAGTCTAGTTTCCATAAAGGAAACCACATTGTTGGCCATCCATCAACCAGTTTCCGCCACCTGGTATCCAGAATATCAAAACTGTGTGACATTGGTACAAAAAAACGCTCCCTGTCTGCAGAAATGAGAACACTTCAGAATGTTACCATGGATATTTTTTGACAACTTTACCTTGGAATACTGTTATCTCTGACTGAAGAGTTGTATTTATCTGTGTTATCTTTGGATGTCTGTATCAGACTTGGTGCAGAAGTGGAATCCGCAGGGTCTCTCAGCGAGTGGAAAAAGTTGCACAAGAAGGTTGTCGACAGGTCTGTTTTCTTAAATAACCACTGATCTTCCTGTGGATAGCCATTTTGTTTCAGAGCAGTGTGTAGGCCTTTCCTTCTGCATGTTATGTACATTCACCATGGCATTTCGTCTTGCCCTTGTGAAGTTTCATCTCTGCCATTGACCATTTTTTCTACTTGCATTTTTTGCATGCAGACAAGTGAGCTTCCACGATGTACAACTTCTGCGTTGTTTTTCTTTCATTGTAAAATCATTTACTGGAACACAATAGAAGGCCATGCTTATTTGAAGATGCACAGCATGTTCACTCACACTTCATATTTAGAACAAACCAAGAGCAGCTTTTTGCTGCGTACAAATCACCATCAGCAAAGACCCAATATTTAGCATTTATCAATACCCGGTACCAGTTTCCCTTTTCAACAGCGTGTAACGTGACTTTGTAATAACATTTGATAATGCCATTAATGCCCGCGGTGATTTGATAGTGCCCACTGCATGAAGATGCTCTAGCACCTGGATACGAGACAGTTTAATCCATTCCTATTGGTCAAGCGTTTGTGTGCACTATGGCATGCAAAACTCGCCATGCAAATGCGAGTGCCAAGTCCATATGAGGAGATTCTTCTGGACTACTTGCATATGGAATATACCATAAAATGGATGGGGGTGTTCCAGAAAATGAAAGTAAAATTCTTCAACAAAATCCTTGGAAATTTATCGTATAGTGTCTTCTTGTGACTTTCTGACTAAAACGGTATTTATGAATGCGAATAAAATGTGCTTGGTCGGTCTTACACTAATGTTTAAAACTAGCTCATGAGAATGAACACTGATCATGCCCAAGCAGCAGGCGAGGACGTTAGTTACATGTACGCGTATGTCCATTCTCCTGAGCCGGTCTTACATGCATGTTTAAGACCGGCCAAGCATGTATTTATTTTCTTATTTAAAGTCATGATCATAGCACCATTAAGTTCAGTAAATCATATTCATTCAGTTTTAAGTTTATTCCTTTATCATCATTTATTAGGATACTTGTATGTATATATGTACATGGTGAATTGATGTCTGTGTACATACCGATCAGCATGTGTTATGTTTGGGCCACATGCATGCGCCATAGAGTACCGAAGTGTGACGTCGTTTTGAACCAGAGAGTACAGTGCAAAGAGAGTACTACCCCTGAGCTCTTCCTGTTTGTGATGTTATGCTCCCTTACTTTCCTTAGTGTCCTTACACCTGGGTGTTTTCCAATTCCCCCTCCGTGTGATGAATTTTGCTCGTGCCCCATGTTTGTATGTGCAGATTTGAGTTCAACCCAACATGTTCCTTGCAGGCTGATTGCATGTAAGGTGGTCTTTAGATATGTAATGTGGTAATGTGGTAAGAGTGACATCATGGTGACATCACATACAGTGGCAATACCATCTGCCATCAGGCACGTCAAAAGAAGCAAAGTGGCCAGATTGAAGCAGTGTTCATTACATTTCATTTAGTCAAATGCCTTGTACTTGTAATTACATGGATATGGTGCACCTGTTGTAGTATGTATGTCATTTCAATCCAATTATCTAGTTTCAAGTGTACATTTCCCAAACTGTGAGGACTACCACGTTACGTACAGTCAAATACTTTAAATGCCTGTGTGCTAGTTAAACAAATGATAACACATGTAAGGTTGAAAATTGGCACTATTCAAAAGCTGAAAGTCCTTAAAATTATGTGAACATATCTTTCTTAGCAAATAAAATTTAACCATTGAAACTGTCATTCTCTTCCAACTCATTTCATACAAAATGGCCGTATTTGACTGCGGCAGAAAATATTTCCTGGGCCCAACAGTCATGGTGCTGCTTAGCTCCTGATTTTATGCTAACAGTGGCGCTGCGTACTTCATGGAGACCATAAACGGTAAGCAAAGCAAAGGGTGTGCTTACTTCGGATGAAATATTTGGCCTAACTTTGATGTGTAACAATGGAAATCTGTATGAGTGCGCAACTGTTAGCCAACCGCATCAAGCGCTGCCATGAAGGAGCGCTTTCGGTTGGCCAAATTTTGTGTTGTAGTAAACACAACTTTTCTGCTAACTGTTAAGCAGCACCATTACATTTGGCCCCGTTCTATTATGTAATCTGCTTGTGGCATGCACTCGTTCATAGATGTGTTATGTGAAAGGCAGAACCCCTATGAGCAGCGAGTCTTCGCAAGGCATGGGATGTTTGCATATGGACATTGTGTTGAATAACTCAGTTTTTCATAGATTGATTGCTTTTGAGGGGATGAAACCCTTTGAGTGTAAAAAAACCTAGACTTTCAATTCACTTTCATGTCACCTGCTACATGTAGCATACGTGTACATATATGCTGTTAATGCATGTATTTTATGCCACCAAGTTCATTTCAAATCACTTTTTATTCATGTTCCAGTAAGGGAGGTGAGTACATGAATGTATGTAAAGTTTTTGTACTGTTGCTGTGCCAGGTGCTTATTAGAGGTAACAGTTTGTGATATTGTATTAAACTTATTGTTCAGTGGATGACTTGGATTTTAAATTCCCTGTACGTGTACATGTATTTGTTTTAGGGTTTTTTAAGTTCAGCATACTATGTAAGCTATTCAGGAGAGATGTAAAGTTGCAAACATGACTTTGGATTGAGTGTGATATTAGCCTATCAAATACGTGTACGTACATGTACATGTATCAAGGATTATGAACTGTGATGCCGATACGGTACATAAATTCAAATGTTCAGTGTTAGGAGAAAGTCTGACTTATTTCTGTTAGATTTCCAAATCATTATGTCTGTTAGATGCTTTGTAAAAGTGTACTTTTCTGGATATGCTGCTGAGTCGAGAGCATTATTCACCTTCAATTCACTGTTCAACTATCCAAAATTATGGTTCCTCCGTCCATCCTGTGGTTGAAAATGTATTTTTCATCCTAGTGCATATGAGGTCATCCAACTGAAGGGCTACACATCCTGGGCAATCGGTCTTAGTGTTAGCACTCTGGCTCAGTCTGTTCTGCGCAATCAGAATTCGGTGTTTGCTCTCTCAACCCTGGCACAGGTGAGTCCACCGTCAAAAAGCCACACCAGCCACTTCTTTTATACGTGTGCTTGTTCTGTTCTTTGCTCTTCTTTCTATGGAAGTGTATGCATTTCAGTTGCCAGCATTGTTTTCTGTGAATGTCAGTTCAAGGTTGCCTTTTTACACTACTTTACAATGGGATTCTTTTCCAAGTGATCTACATAGAGTTGAGTGTTTGTGTCCCAAACATTACAAATGCCAGGAGCAATGCTGATGTGGATTAAAATATGCTTCATGTTTTTTACAACATTTTTAGAATTTTAAATTTTTTTAGTTATTTTATGATTGAGAAGTGATGCATTCAATCTCCGTTTTCATCTCTGAAATAGGAGGAAGCTTAAAAGTTACATGTACTCAACCAAAGCGTGGTCTTTTCTCCAATATACATGTGCAGGATTAAAAGGATATTCTACAATAGAGCGAGCATTTGTTCCATGATAAGGCTTGTCTGTCTGATTGTCACTTTATTGCTTATGAATCTGCTGGCAAAAAATATCATTTCCTAGTTTTCACTGATTTTCTTAGTTGATGAATCATGTGTAAATCAATTAATTACGTTACAGTTAAATTCTTTTTGAACCGTTTTTTTTTGGTCGTGTTTACATTTTACACCAGTTCCAATGAATGCCAATTCCTTGTCATAAACGTTCCTTCGCAGGGTTACCACGGCATTGACAGGGAAGTCTTCCTTAGTTTGCCGGCAGTCCTGGGCCAGCACGGCGTGCGCCACGTGATCAAGCAGAGGCTGAATGAAGAGGAGGTGGCCCAGCTCCAACGCAGCGCAGAGACGCTGTGGGCGGTGCAGAGAGAGTTGGATCTGTCCACGACTACCCACTGAAGAGTAGGCTTGGAAATGTGAGCAGACTCTTCCACTTGACATCTTTCGCATGGATGATTGTATCATGACATCTCATATAACAATGTCATAAGAATTGTAGCCAACCGCAGTTCATACTGCAGTGTTTAGAAAAGTACATGTAGTCCGAGTTCCATGTTCCTGTCAACCTTCTGTGATGATGTAAAGCTCAGTATTTTGCCATCCTTACCCTTTCTCGATCAGAGTCTCCAAGAAACGTCATTAGTTTTCCGTTCAAAATGCCCCATGTTGATGGCTTGGGCCTTTAACTTCTGCTGTATTGAAATGTGGCACAGGTGTCTGGCACACCCAAGAAGTTTCAAGATGGCAACATCCATTTTATAGTTCCGTGGTCTGATCATCAATGTTAATGAGTGCTCCCCTGTCACCCCTATATGCCATCCAAATTCTTGGTGAACAACACGTGTGTCCTCCAGTATGCCCCAGGTGAAAGTTTGGGCATTGGCATGCCTGGCTAATAGGCCTTAGGATGAAGGCAAGCCTTCAGACCAAAGGACAATTTGTTACTTGTCAGTCCATCAACACGGTCATTTTTTGTAGGGGAGGGGATCAGATTTCTATCAAATCAAAGTGTGGAGCAAGGGGTGGAATCCCCTATCTTGTTGAAATAGCCAAGTATATATGCTTCATGCTTCAATACTTTTTGTCCCCAGAACACTGTGTGTGAAAGAACTGATTCAGACTTGCAAATTGCATGAAAATGTTGAACTACCATAACAGAGAGCGGAATAGTATTTATAAAATAATAGTTAGTTTCATTTGTAATATGATGTAGATTAGTTTGTAAATGAGTTTCTAATGCCCCATAAACAGGGGCGTTGCCAGGCCTTTTTTTGGGGGGGGGGAAGAAACCACTTTAGACAACGTGGAAGCACTCAACAGCTGTTCTCATGGTCGAGATGACATCACCGAGTCTTGGTTCTTTTCTCTGATTGGTCAGTTGGTGGCTGCTACACTTTTCACAATGGGGACTCAAAAGGGCAAAAATAGTGTTGTAGTCTGTGGGGAAAATCTGAATTCTTAACTAAACTCATAACCTTCACATCAAATATGCCCAAATCTCACTATTTATACACTATGAATATCTTTAACACTGTACCAGAACCTTTTCATTTTTTTATCAGTTTGCCACAAAATAAATGAGGAAAACTTAGAAATCCCTGTACAAAGTAAATGGAGGGTTGCCCCTTGGCCCAGTCGTGAGTGCAATGAGTGGAACAACCTCCGGCCAAGAGAATGAACTGATACAAACTCAACAGTGATGGCCACTTTTTAGGATTTTCCAAACCAATAGGTCCTGTTCCTCCCCTTTCACCTTGTTTTTTTTTCATTTCATTTTTTTTCCTTTTAATTCATTTTTTTAATTGTTAATTTTTTTTCTGGGGGGAGGGGGAGGGGCAACCCATGGCCCCCACCCTGTGTAACACCCCCGTCCATAACCATTGCTGTAAAGCAGGGTACAAGTCTACACTTGAGTAGTGGTCTAACTGGTTTAGAGATTTTGCACATTTTACAGTTTTTGTTGCATGTTAGTGAATTTTGGCAAGGCTTGTGCAATCAGCACAGATTACTCAATCCTATAAAAGGTCGAGGACAATTTTTAGAACTCTATTGAAGTAGATTTTTTACTTTTACAATGGAGTGATATCTGTGCATGGACATTTTAGCGACTTACTAGTAAGCATTCTTGGACTCTCCGGACTTCGTGCCGGGCCATGGGGATGTTGTGGCTGATGTAATGGCTTGTGAAGAACATTTAGAGATTCAAAGCAAAGCCTCTATTATAGGCTAGGGCCATTTTCCAATACTCAACTTCGTCTCCGTCTCAAGCTTCGTGTAGGAAGCAAGTCCTCGATTGTGGGCCTGAAGCGTTTAACTTAAATTGAAGTATTGTAATGTTTGGCTCTTTTGCATCTTACTTGATGTTTTGTGGCACTATTAGACTTACTATTGCGCTTATAACCTCAAAGTCAGGAAGTAAAGAAAACAGTTGAAGCCAGAAATGGGGCCCAAGTCGAGTATTGGAAAACAGCCTTGGTATAAAGGCTGTATTGACTTGTTCCTGGTGTAAAGCATCATTTTGATTTATAGATTCCATTCATGTGGAAGTTACCTAATATTTTGTAAGTCCAGGGTAAAGCCTTTTTTGTCCTTTTTTCTCATACTAGTACACCACAGTACTGCTTTGTTGCCAAAGGTTGATGACCTCTAAATGAATGGCAGTTTCTTGTTTTGCTGTAGGTTGCCTGTTTGTGCAGCAGCCCTTAAACAGGAGTGATCATATGGAGCAGCGACTTGAATCAAGTCTAAATACACTATACGTGATTATGCGTGGTTTCGTATCTTGAATGTTCGTGCCTACAATGTAGTGCGATTTGAATTGGGAATTTTTAATTCCCATGAATTCCCCTCCTTTATTTGTCCCCTTTGTGGCTTTCATTGTACATGTAAAGTCAAGACCATTGGTCAATTGTATCTGTTTGGTGTTTAATTCCTTTTAGCGTTGAACAAAGTAGGTGTAAATGTAAACTTTATATAGTATTTATGCTGTGATGCATGAATAAGAAGTGGCTCTGGGAGAGAATGTTATCTGCGTTGCCAAACTTGCTTTGATATGGATAGGAAATATATTTAGAAGATTTAAATGCATCACAAATGTACTTGGCAAAAAATTACTAGCTTAATTTACATATTTTTGTATCAGTCACAGTCCATGTGACTGTGTGTATTGCATTTGCTAAATTTGTGCAGAGTTATGATAAAGAATTCGCAGCCCAAAGGGATAAATAAACATTTTAAGTCAGGCTCTTGAAGAAGTCGAAGAGTCAACTGTTTAAGTTAAGGTTTGTTCTTAGAGAGTGAGTGATATTGATTTCGGGAAGTAACCTAATAATCACGTAAGCAAAGTAATGTTTTACCATTAGTTTCTTTTGATACCATTAGTGACGATTTGTCAGAGAGCAGAGTTACAGAAAGAATATAAAATTTGCCACACCCTCTGAATTGGAAATAAGTATACAATGACATATACACGGAACAGAAACCCCGCAGTATCTGTTCCAGAAAATTTTAAACTACCAAGCCCTGGGACGAGGAACTGTTTTATTTTGTTTTGAGACTGAAATAGAATCTGTTGAGACTCTTAACGGACAGATGTTCGCATTTCACTGCCACGTATCTGTGTGTGTTGTCGCTGGCCGAGACAAAGAATGGGGCGGTTCTACGGAAACAGTGGACATTATGTGTTTGTGTGATACTAACTGGTGTCACTTTGGCTTTGCACGATCGTTGCCAGATTATTTTCGCCGTGGGTTCGCCTGAAAGTTGAAACTAAAGAGTGCGTAAGTTTGTTGAAATTCAGTTCATAGAAAGACAAGGGCTAGTTTGGAGACCTTTACATACCAGTTTGCAAGCTATGTTGTGAATGCACTTAGGATAGCGCAACCAGTCAAGTGACAGAGAATTTTACGCAATAAATTTTAGTTTGTGTGATAATGCCGTTGTATGTACACGTTCTTTCTGAAGTCACTATCAACTTCAAAATACTTGCAGTTTAGCAACCCCACACCCTCTGAGATGATGTGACGAGTGAGTAGTTCTGGTTTTGTTGTCATCCGAGTACATTTAATACAATAACAGAAGTAGTGCTTTCCGAAAGTTTGAACATAAGAATATTTTGAAATCGGTATTAAAAAAGAAAAGGACAGATTTTTGAAAAAGTGATTGTAAGCAAGGACAGAATGATTTATTACACATGAACGTAAAGTGAAAACGGTGTTGATCTCCCCGCCAGCCTACTGGAGATGTGTTTTACAGGAATCTGTCCACGAAATTACCCGAATTCACATTTAAACTGCACATCGAACAGTTTCGTGTTGGACTGGGGCCCGGACTTGTTGCCAGCGAGTATTGACGGGTACCCTCGTACGTGTTCACGTATTAACGGATCGCGTTGCAGCAGTTCAAGTGTGGACTAGACTTGAATCAAGTCGGCTTACGTTACTCTTGCCCAATCAGCTATTTTTCAGTCTGTAATCACGACACGCGTCGGTCGCATAACCCTTATTAGCCCCCATTTGATAGCCTTTATTGTACAACGTGTGTCATATGTCACCAGTCAGTAAGTCCGACTTGACGGATAAGCCAATCGGACCGCGCCCTCGGTTCATGTAGTTATTCACAATTGCTTGATGCGTACGACATTTCCACCAATCAAAGTAGTTAGACTTGTAGACTCGTTTATTATAATACATGCATGAACGACGTAAAAACAAGTCCGGCACTGTGATTGGCTGCTACCACTTTTGGTAGATGAGCCCATTCACTGTGTATTAACGGTTGGCAGATTCGTCAAATCGGGATTTCTGAACCAAACTCATAGTAATAAGTGGACACAAGAGGGCGCAAAGCAAGTAACAGCGCGCGGTACGGTCTCGGTATGTATCCAAAGCATACTGAATCGAATTCACAGAGATCCCGATTTGAATTAAGTCCAAGTGTGGGCCGACTTGTCCGTCATGTCGGCGTTCGTTTCGTATTTTGGCAATCAGCCAGTGCCATCTTCCGCACAGAACAAATAAGAGATCCATTAGCCCATGCTTTCCTTCCTAATGTAATCCTATTAATACCACTTTATCAGTTTATACACGTATACGTATATTATTATCCATCATTCCCGAGGTGCAATGTAAACTGTACAGAATTTTGTTGGCAGTGGGAGTACAATGGACTGACGCTGCATGTTCAGTTAACGAGACTCTGTGTATTTAAAATTCAGCTACCATCCAATCCATTTTAATCCCACGTCGGAGAACATTTTATTATTCTTTTTAGCTTATGCTGCATCTTTTGAAATTTATCTTGTGCTCTGGTTCTAACCGATATCACCCAATCAAAGGCTCTGGCGGCCGCTTTAATCTTAAACGTTTGCAATATAACCTGTTTGAGTAATACTTCAGTCGATATTATGAGCATGTCGCATGGTTTCCGTAGTTGCCAATGCCGTAGTTGGATGAGGCAATGCAGCCGGAATGGTAGAAAATACCTCTGCAAGATCCAACGACAGAATCTGTGTGAATAAATGGGACACACTGCCGTTCCGTTGTAAATTATCTGAGTAAATGCCTGTTTAAAAGAGGACAGTTCAAAATATCACAAGATAGCTATTTATAGTTTCATCATTAGTCTTGATAATGGCTGTGAAGAGAATTTGGACACGGCAATGTACATCTAAATTAAATGAACTTAATGGAAATTTGAACAAAATACCCAAACTATACCTATTTTTGTACCAAAAGAGTTTTTTGTGTGAGCTGAACGTACCACAATCTCTAATCATGTCGTACTTCGTAGTTGTGTCCAATAGTGTAGTGGTGGGCGGGGCAGCAGTAGTTGTGAGTGGATAGTTATAGTAGTTGTCTCTCCAGGCGTTGTTTTCACTCTAACCAGTGACCCATTGATGACGTATTCTGCCTTGAATCCTGCCCCCTGGTTCGTAAAAAAAACGATTTAAAGATCACCATCAAAACGATGACCCGTCGACTCAATGTCTGATGGCAAGTTTGGACTACACAACCTGTATACATCCAATCAGCCATTTCTAAATGAAGTTGGTATGCAAGACATAAAAATTACTTTTTAAGGACATTCTAGTTTATCCCTGGAGGTCTACTCTAAATCAATACAGCCATGGTTGCATGGTCAGTGTATAACAAAAGGCGTGAGCCAGTAATATCCTAAAGACCCTACAGCTAATAATGTTAATGTACATAAATTAATTACCTACTCCTTGCTACCGGAAATGATGTCATCACCCTCTTGAATAAAGAGAGGGCCAAAGAGACATCATGGTAGAAACGTCCAACTTAAAATATGAGAATGAAATGAAAATGGTGGAACCATCCCCACCCTGAAGAGAAAGATAGGAACAAAAACGCATTCACGTAAACTGAGAAAAAAACATCACTATACTGATGTGAAAGAATTTCAAACAAAAAGTTTCACAATGCTGCGAGACTTCAGCAATTTAAATTAAATTTACCTTCTGTGTTATTCAAAAACCGGCTTTCCAAAAAGCAAAAATGAAAGTTAAACTATCAGTGAATACTATACATTTCCGGAAAATAGGCTTCTTTTTCTGTCTTTACTGACATCCAGAGTCTTACCCATATATTCCAGATACAAGTTAAATCATCTTCGTNAGGCTCCAGGGTAACCTGGCGACTGCAGGGTACCAGATCAATAAGTTAACACTTTGAGGAACCCCGAACGTGGTGTGGTAAAACATTCACACTACACTTTAAATGAAAGCAGAACAGCCAGATGTTGATAATATTACAAAGGCCGATCATTACAGACAACTTAAATTGTCCAAGAAAGAATTCATTCTTCTGGAGGAAACTCTAAACATGCAACGGTTGGGTTTTTGATCTTTTAAAGGCATATACATGAACATTTATGTAATTTTCGCGTGCCCATTGTTGTCAACCGAATGAATAAAACGTCTGGACATTTACTGTATAGATGTATTCCAATAATCCATTCCAAATATACCTCACATTACAAAAACTGAGAATGGTTGTTTTAAAATGCCGAGTCACTTTGCTCTCGTGCCTAATTTACTAATTAATCTGTTAACGAAAGAGTCAATTTAGACTGTAAATTTACTTGTATAATCTTTATTTATTCACTTTATTTCCACACAAAGGTAGAGGGGCCACTAAGAAGCACAGCTTGTCGAGTAGGGGCCCTATACAGACATATATACC